AATWTAGCTTAGTTCGTGGAGTGCTTGCCTCATCTGCACAAAGTCCAGGGTTCAATCCCCAGCACTGCCAAAACACTAAAATTAAATTTAAAAATGTAGGAAAAGTATAAACAATTCTTTCTGAGATAATTTTTAAAAAGGAGGCATTTTCAGTCTCAGCAAAAATTGTGGGGAGTAAATGAAGCAAAATCTGAAAGTTTTTTTTTWAAAAAAGAAGTAAAATTTATAGCATCTGGAAATAAGGGAAAACCAAGAAAAAAAAAAGAAAAGACCAAGGAATAGTAACTGCAGTCATTACATTTAGTTAGAATCATGGTACACACAAAGGAAGAACAGGAAATGAGCTAATGTAGGCCTAGGCATTTACCAGTGACTAACTTTTTTAGGCAATGGGGACTGAACTCAGGGCTTTGAGCATGGTAAGCACATGCTCTACCACTGAGCTACAAAACCCCAAAGCCCTGAGTTAATTTTTCAAAAGATACAATAACATATTAGCACATAATCTTAATACTGCTACAGCATTTTAAAAAGTATATTCTATATAGATTATTATTATTTTTTTTTTTAAAGAGAGAGAGGAGAGAGAGAGAGAGAGAGAATTTTTAATATTTATTTTTTAGTTCTCGGCGGACACAACATCTTTGTTGGTATGTGGTGCTGAGGATCGAACCCGGGCCGCACGCATGCCAGGCGAGCGCGCTACCACTTGAGCCACATCCCCAGCCCTATAGATTTATTTTTTTATTCATCATTTCCATTTAATAAAATAAATAAAAATTCTACCCAAAATCACATAATTGAAAAAGAAACTAAGTTCTCTCAATAAAGATCAGCTCTGGGGCTGCAGGTAACTCAGTGGTTGAGCACTTGCCCCATCATGCATGAGACCTTGGATGGAATCCCTAGTACAACTCCTACATAAACTGAGAGCTTCTGAGGAGATGCTGGAGTTCTCTATGTTCCCTAAAGACTGTCTTCCTAGCTAGTCATCAAAGGAAGTCATACAGGACTCTCTCTTTTTTTTTTTTTGCCTACATCTTCTATTCATTTAAACTTTAAAAAAACTCACAATTTCACAACTTCATTTGTGAACCATACTGTACCAAACAGATCACTACAAAGTTTATTACCTTTTGTCCTCGTTTCATTGGTTGTGCAACTGCAACATTTCTGTTTGTGTTCTGCTGAGTTTCCATGTGTACAGAACTTTCTTTGTCCTTTCCCTCTATTGCTTCTAAATCCCCTGAGTCACTTAGAAGTTTTTTCTTCTTCATTTCCCTAAAACAAATGAAGTGAAAAAAAAAGCAAATTCTTAGTGCCCTAAAAAAAATTCAGAGAACATGCACAATATATAAAAGATCATGATTTCTATTTAACCTGATAATCACTATAGAATAGTATACATACAAAGAGGCTCAAAGAATCACATAGAAAAGAGCTGAAAATTTTTCAGCTGTAATATATTAATCATTCTTTGTGTTATCCAGGCTCAACATTCTGTCACCCTTGACTTATCCTTCATCTACCCACACTCACTCAATTGAAAACCTTGGGGTTGCAGTTGTGACTCAGTGGTAGAACACTTGCCTAGCAGCTGTGTGAGGCACTGGGTTTGATCCTCAGCACCACATAAAAATAAATAAATAAAATAAAAGTATTGTGTCAATCTACAACTAAATATATATATATATATATATTTAAATGGGACAGAGGGATTGAGAGAAGGGAAAATATGGCTTATTATATTTACTTCTATACCAATTTTCCAAATGAATTTTGAAGTTGTTCTTAGATGAGAAATTAAGGAGTCCTCTGTCCAGATTTCATAGCTATGTGCCTTAAGAACTTACTGATTTCATAATACTTATGTCCAAAAACATCCTACACTCCAAATTTAGGGAKTAAAGTACAATATCCCATATGTCCTCTGACATAAAGATACAGGGTTGGTGAGGCTGGGGTTGTGGCTCAGTGGTAGAGTACTTGTCAATCATGTGTGAGGCACTGGGTTCGATTCTCAGCATCACATATAAGTAAATAAATGAAATAAATGTCCATTGACCAAAAAAAAAAGAAAAAAGAAAGAAAAGAAAACCTTGCTGGCCAGGTACTGGGATTTGTAGTCTTTGTATCAAAAATGGCCTTGGCAGATCTTAAGCATTTTCAATAAAACATTTGTTGATTAGTTATTGAATAAATAAACGGATACAAAAAATAAATAGGAAGAAGCAAACATTCCATTGCTATATTTTTCTTCATATTCCCAGTTTAGGACCTCACCAACTGCCAAACTTTCTTTAAGGAATTCCCAGTAATCTACCTAAACTTCTATATTAATATTCTTTAATTGCTTACCTATGTTACATTCCCATTCAAAATCCTACAAAGGTTATTTTCATAACTTTCAGGATAAAGTGCCAAATACTTAGCTTATCATTCCATGTTCTCCACTTTCGGTCCAAATTCACCTCTTCAGTCTTCCCATAATCTGTTCACTAATGTGAACTTTGTCTTCCTTTTGCCTTAGTCTATCATTTTCCCAAAGCAATATATATATATATATATATATAACTTCCAAATCTCTCTCCCCTTCATTAATGCTAATTTTCCTTGGAGTATTTTATCTTTCTTCATATACTTAATGGCTACTATATCTTCAAGGTATATTTCTGATGGTATTTCCCAAAATATCTAAACTTAAAAGCAATCTCTCACTCCTACTGTATCACTTTGACAATACGATGTATTGATAAGTATTTCCTGAAAAATACTTATCAATAAAATACTTATCAATACTTCAAAAATTTCTTGAAGGCATGAATTTGATATGTAAACCTCTTTGTATACTCAGTATAAGTAAAGCACCATGTATTGAGATGTACTGAGGGTTCTCTGTAATTGTTTTTAATGACTGTCTTTCTAAACCAAAAGGACTTTATTATCTATTTCATTCCTCCTAGAGTACTTTATGTCTTTCCCATCCTGTAGGAGTTGTTCCCTTCCTCTGCCTTTCTATGTGCTATTAAAAAAAAAAAAGACTTGCTATTAAAAAAAAAAAAAGACCTGCTATTAAAAAAAAAAAAGACAAATTTTTTCCTAATTTCAAGTATTCTTATTTATTCCTGTCAGTATTATCCTAGAATTAACGTGTCTACTTAATACACAATAATCATCATTATACATGTTTATATAATAAAAGGTCCTTTAGTTTTTCTTTCTCAGTACTGGAGATTGAACCCAGGCTTAGCACATGCTAAGCAAGTGCTCTACCACTGAGTTACATACCGAGCCCAAAAGGCCAGTCCTATTACTTGATAATAAATTAGGGACCTAAACCTGAAAAACATTAAAGAGTTGAATATCTAAAAATAAAGCTTTGTGCTTGTCTTGGTAATTTTAATAAAGTAAGTCTTTAGAATAAATAGTCAAGTATTCTGTGATAGCTGAGCTATCATTTWAAAAAAATACAAAAAGTTAGACAGAGTGGGGGCACCCCTACAATCCCCACTACTAAGGAGACTAAGGAAACAGGATCACAAAGTTTAGGGCAGCCTGGGCAACTTAGCAAGACCCTGTCTCAAAATGAAAAAAAATTTTAAAAAGGCTATAGCTATAGGTCAGATCACTTGCCTGGTGTGTGCAGAGCCTTTGTTTGAACTCTAGCACTTACTCACTAAATAAATAATGCCTTTCAGTTAGATAATACAAATATATTTACCTTCTTTCCTTGGCTGATAAATGTCTCCGGCCCTGTAATTTACTGTCATTCTATTAAAATGAGAACAAAAAGAAAGAAATAAAATTCCTCAACAATATCATTGAATTTTTCAAAAAGTAAAATTAAAAAGAAAATATTGAGAAAAATGTAATTTTTTTTTTAAATAAAACCTTAAAATAGCTTACTGAATTAGAAGATTCTTCTTTTGAAGCCAATTTCTGAAGGGACCTATAAAAACAAGAAGAGTATAAAGCCTGAAAACATTCTCATATCATACTCTAAATGATTTTTATTTTTGTATTTTATTTTTTAGAGTACTATAACTATACATAAGTTGAATTCATTGTGCTCTTAATTACTTATAATCCTACAAGTACAATCAAATCATTCATATCTCCACATTTTTTCACCAAGAAGGAAACAAGCTTACACATAAGTAACTTGCCCAAAGGTACATCCTAAGACTCAATTTTGATTGTCTGACTCCCAAGCCATTATTTATAATCCCAATAAAAACACTTTTTTAAAACTATATATTGTTACTTGGTGATCATTAAGACATTAATAACTAGAACACCTCTTTTTTAGATGGATTACTAGCCTTTAGAATCATTTGTTTCTATTCTGAACTACTTTGGTCATTTTTAATATCAATGTATTTTTCCACCCTTGTCCTGGGAATTTCTTTAGAGAAATTAAATGTGGAAAAAAAAAAAAAAAAGAACAATAGCACTGAATAACAGAAAAATGAAGGGTGAAAGTATTGAAGTCAATCTTGGCATTGTCTTTGTAAGGATTAACTTGTCATGATTCACAACTTACAAAATAAAACTTAAAATGTTCTCTTTTTAATTACCTTTGGGACTGAAGGTGGGACAAGTCAATAGTAGTATCAGGATACTCTAATGTCTCTTCTCTTTCATCCTTCATATCACTGATAGGCTCCTGATCTTTTATAATCACTTCAGATTCTCTTTCATCTTCAGAGCTCTCTTCCTGAATTAGTTCCTCATTTAGTTCATCACCACCACTCTGAACAGGAAGATTCTCTTGGTCAACCTGAGTCACAAGTTCTACTTCTACAGGAGGTTCATGTAATTCCTCTTTATCTTCTTCACTGCTAGTGTCACCCCCATCTATAAAATAACCGTAAAGAAACTGACAAGTCTATGTGATTTTCTTGAAAACTTCATATGAACAATTCTACTCCCTGTTGTCTCAAAAGATCACCCGAAAATCACCAGAATGATCACTGATCATTCTCATAGGGGACCACTCTTAGACAAAAGGATAATCTGTACAATCAACAGGTTGAACTAAGTAGATTTTATGGACATTGCTACCATTTCTACATGAAAACTGTAACCTGCCTTTTTGGGTATTTCCCAGAAGTARGACAATAAAATCAGTTGTAGGGTCCATCTGCCCCACCTGTAAAATGAAATGCCACCACCCATCTGTCATAGATGGTCATGAAAATTACATAAAAATTAAATAAATAAGCGGAGAATTGTGGCACATGCTTGTAATCCCAGCAGCTTAGGAGGCTGAGGCAGGAGAATGAAGAGTCCAAAGCCAGCCTCAGCAACTTAGTGAGGTCCTGGGCAACTTAATAATTATGATTTTTTAAAAAAGGAAAAAAAAAAAAGGCAACTCAGCGAGACCCTACCTCTAAATAAAATACAAAAAAAGGCTGGGGATGTGGTTCAGTGGTTAAGCACCCCAGGGTTCAATCCCAGGTTCCCCTTCCCCCAAAATTAAATAAATATAAAGCACTTTATTCAGTGCCAGAGAAACAGTAACCATCAATCAGTAGAAGTTACAAATGAAACAATACAATATTACTCCTATAAATGAATAACTCTAGGAAAAAGGTATAACTGCAAAAGTAGTTTAGAGAACAACTTTCCCTAGCTCTCTTAAGATAAACGTATTCCAGCAACTATAGTTGCTTTCTACTTGAAACATAAAATCAACTCAAATTCTCATGAGAAATTGTACTTGTTATAAATTCATCTCTATTATTTCTTGTCCTTTTTCTGCAGTACTAAAGATTGAACTCAGGGGTGCTCTACCACCAAGCTACACTCTTGGCCTTTGTAATTTTTTATTTTGAGACAGCATCTTGCTAAGTTGCCAAGRCTGGCCTTAAATTTGTGATCCTCCTGCCTCAGCCTCTCCAGTATTTAGGATTATAGACATGTTGCCACCATGCCAAGATACTTTGCTATCATTTCTTTCTCTCTTTTTAAAATATTTTTTAGTTATACATGGACACAATATCTTTATTTTGTTTATTTATTTTATGTGGTGCTGAGGATCAAACCCAGTGCCTCACATGTGTAAGGGAAGCACTCTGCCACTGAACCACAACCCCAGCCCAACTTTACTATCATTTCTAATTCCTAAACCCCCAATATAAATGATAATTCATAAATACCTGAGTCCTTTTTTGTCAAACAAATTTATACATTACCCATTAAACATTAAAGTTTTATTATATATACACTAAATTATGTAAGTTATGGATATAATTAAATACTTTTCAACACACTAAAATAAAAACTATATTTAACATATCCAAAACCAAACTGATAGATGGTATTTTTATGAATATTCTTTGAAATTTTAATTATCCCAAAATATCATTTACTTAAGGATTTAGAAGTAAAACTAGAAAATAAAAAATATCACAAGCAAATTTACTAAAATGTGTGAACTACCTAGTTGTTCCATTTCTTCTGAGATGAGTTCACTTGTGCAACTTGCCAGTGTCTCCATGTCTTCATCTTGCACTCGGACTTTACGTTCACCCCGATGTCTCCAAACACATGACTCATCTACCTACAGAAATAGTTCTTTTTCATTTATAGAATTTTAGGTAAAAATTATGAGGGGGGAAAAAAAGGAAGAAGTTGAAGAGTACCTTAAAGAGGAAGCTAAACCCCATCATTAGATATGAGGGAGGAAGGAAATTCTTTTTTCCTACAAAAGATAATATACATTGATGTTTTAAAAAAATTAGTTTTCTCCATTTTTTGTCTGCAAAATATATGACACCAGTGATCATACCCATTTTGTCTCTTACTCTGACATGGGGAACATTTCCCATTTATAGAATCTAGCATTAGGTATAGTAACAATAATTAAGAAAAAATATGCATGCTTATTCTTATGTTTTGGGTCAGACCCTGAATAATCTATAAAAAAGATGACAAGGAAAAAATTTGCTTATTTCATAAAAGACTTCATATATGACACAAAGTTATGAATTTCTGTTCTGAGAATATTTACAGATGATACTCAAACCTGACTCCATAATCCACTGGGAAGTTAGGGACATTTTTCATGTCAAGCCATTACCTCTTATCATAAAACTTCCAGTTGTCAAATATTCTCCAGTTGGTGCTGTTTTAGACACCTAACAAACACAATAAGAAATATTGTTTTTTAAGAAATATTGTTCTTAWGAAATATTGTTTTTTTTTTCTATTCAAGAAGTGAAAGTAGTCATATTYAAATAAGCAACACTATAAAATTCATAATAACAAAAATTCTCAACACTAAAGATATCGACTTCCCTTCAACGATAGATATACACCTATGGCAACAACAAAGAAAGAAGGATCTATTATATCAATGTTTCCAAATGCTCTGGAAAAGATCCACTCCTTTCTTCTAGCATGAGATATAATGAGAAAAGGATRGTTTAATAAGTTTATTACAAAATATTAAAATAAAGCTATATTTATTAAGTAAAATCCTTTCCTGAGGCTGGACATGGTACCATACACATATAATCCTAGCTACACAGGAAGCTGAGGCAGGAGGATCTCCAAGTTTAAGATCAGCCTGGGCAACTTAATAAGACCTTGTCTCAAAATAAAAAGTAGAAAGGGCTGGGGGTGTAGCTCAGTGGTAGAGGGATCATGGGTTCAATTCTTAGCAGGAAAACAAACAAACAAAAGCTTAAACATATCTCCTTATAAAAGAATTCAAACTACTTTTATAACAGTATTATGGCAGAAGATATAATCCCTCAAGTATTATTAATTTCCTAAAAACATAATATTACAACATAGCAGGATAATAAATATAAATAGATAATATAATTAAACTAATTCTATAGGAAGATAATACAAATAAATTCTATCCTATCATACAACTTTAGGACCTTGTAAAAGTATATCATTATCAATCATAATTCTTGAAAATGAAATCAATAGTAATGCAAAGTTAAATATGGAATGAAGTATCATCAAATAACAGCATTAACAATAAAAAAGGTCAATTACTAAAACCAAGTGAACTTAAAAAAACAAAAAACAAACAAACAACAACAACAAAAAACCCACAACAGGATATATCTGCTTTTTACAAAGGGCAAAAGAAAAATTCCAAGAAAGATGAAGAGGAAAAAGACCTTCTAGGCCAGTAYAATAGTCATAACTGATATCCCATTATATGTTACATATGGGATTATAYATACCCTATATAACTGCAATGGATCACTCTTCACTTAGATCTTTGTTCAAATCTTTACCTTCCCAGAAAGAGATCCCTGATACTTTATAGTGATAGATAGCCATTAATACTCTCTATTTCATTATATATGCCTTAAGTTTTTTTAATAGTACTTTTTACCTGATATGTATTTTTCTCYACCTACATGAAAGATCTATCAAGGAAGTAGCAAATCAAGTAGTTTGCCCTCCTTATTTACTTTTATATCCTCAAAATTTGATACACAGTACAGCTCTTAATAAAGAAAAAAGGACTATGGCCCTTATTACCTGATGATGGTACACCCACCAAGCACTAGTGATAACTCGTGCATCCCAAGCAGCACTGTAGCAAAGTGCCATTGTGCCAGCCTCAGTCAGTGTCCGTGGAGGGATGGGTTCTCCTATAAAAATAATGCTACATTTCAATACTCAAGTACATACTTTCTACAAAGCAAGATATAGTATAACCAGTTCAATTATCTTAAATACTAACACCATGCTTTATTTCAAGATTTTAAAAAATGATTGTTTTAATTAAAATATATTTACATGAAAGGCTTTTAAAAGACCTATGTACATAAGAAATATCACAGAAAAAATATCCTTTCAATTATATCAATCATTTTAACTTCATTCCATAAAGTATAATTTAGAAAAATCTCAAGTTTGAAGACTTTTAGAAGTACTATCCCTTAGATTTCAAATATTCTTTAATTGGGATGTAATTCATAGATCATAAAATTCACCTTTTATAGTGTACAATCCAAAGGTTTTTAGTATATTTATAAAGTAGTGGAACCATTATCATTATCTAACTTCAGAAAACTTTCATCCTTCCCAAAAAGAAATCTGCATCTTTTAGCAGCCATTTTCCATTTTCCCTCCTATATGAAGCTCCTGGCAATCACTAACTTTCTGCCCCTATAGATTTGCCTATTTTGAGCATTTCATATAAACTGAATTATATATAGTCTTTTGTATTCTTTCATTTAGCACATTTTCAAGGTTCATCCATGCTAGCCCAGTGCAGTGGCTCACACTTGTAATCCTTGCAACTTGGGAGGCTGAGGCAGGGGGATCACAATTTCTAGGCCAGCCTGTGCAACTTAGAGAGATCACAAGAATCTATCTCAAAATAAAAGGGCTGGGGATGCAGGTTCATTCCCCAGTAGCAAAAACAAAAAAATAGTTCATCCATGTTAGAGCACAGATACTTCCAATTATTCCACTGTATGGATAACACCACATTTGGTCTATCAATTCATTAATAAATGAACATAGTTGTTTCCATTTCTTGGTTATTATAAATAATGCCACTGTGAATATTTGTAAACAAGTTTTGAATGGATACATGTCTTCAATTATCTTGGGTATACAAAACTAGGAATCACTGGGTCACAACTATATTTAACTTTTTGAAGAAATGCCAAATCATTTTCCATAGCAGCTGTGCACCATTTTCTAGTCCTCCCAACAGGGTATAAGGATTCTAATTTCTTCACATTCTAACCAATATTTGTCCATTTTTTTCCTGGTAACCATCTGGTGAGTATGAATTGGCACTTCACTGTGGATTTGATTTGCATTTCCCCCATCTTTTAATGTGTTTCTTGGTCATTTGTCTATCTTTGAACAAATGTCTGTTCAAATCCTTTGCTTTTTTTTTTTTTTGGTACCAGGGATTGAATGCAATAGTGCTTAATCACTGAGGCACATCTCCAGTCATTTTTTATTTTTATGTTGAGACAGGGCCCTGCTAAGTTGCTGAGACTATGAATTTGTGATGCTCCTTTCTTGGCCTCCCAAGCTGTTATGATCACAAGCATATGCCACTGTGTCCATCCTTTGCTCATTTTTTAATTGGGTAATTTTCCTTTTTTACTGTTTGAGTTTTATGTGTTCTTTGAATATTGGTCTCTTATTAAATGATCTATAAATATTTCTGCTATTCTGTTGGTGTCTTTGATTTTCTTAATAGCATCCTTTGAATTAAGGTTTTTAGTTTTGATAAAGTTCAACTTACCTGTTTTTCTTTGATTGCTTATGATTTTGGTGTCACATCTAAGAAATGATTGCATGATCCAAGATTATGAAGATTTGACTTTTAACAGTCTTATAGTCTTTGAGCTAAGTTTTGTAAATGGTGTAAAGAAAGGGTCCAACCTCATTCTTTTATATGAGGATATCTAATTTACCCAGTGCCACTGATAAAAAGATTATTACATGAAAATACAGACCACAGACTGGGAGAAAATATTTGCAAAAGATATATATCAGATGAAAAACGGTTACCCAAAGTTTGTTACACAAACAATTCTTAGACCTTAACAATAAGAACACAGTTCAAAAGTCAGGCATGGTGGTACACACATGTCTGTAATCCCAACATTACTGAGTTGGCTGAGGTAGGAGGATCTCAAGCTCAAGCCCAATGCTGGCAACTTAGACTGTCTCAAAAGAAAAAGAAAACCTGAGGATGTAGCTCAGTGGTTAAAGCACCCATGGGTTCATTCTGCAGTACTACAAAAAAAAAAAAAAGTCCAAAGACCTTAACCAAAGAAAATATATAGATACGCATATTAAAAGATGCTCCACATTATATGTCATCAGGAAAATGTGAATTAAAACGAGATACTACCATATACCTGTTTGAATGGCCCAATCCAGAACACTGACAATACCAAAGGCTATCAGGGATGTGGAATGCAAGAACTCTCATTCATTGTTACTGGAAATCGAAAAGGGTACAGCCACTTGAAAAGACAGTTTGGTGGTTTCTCACAAAATTAAATATACTCTTACC